ATTGTAACGTTGTTAATTATCTAATAAAAAGCCCCCCGGCCATAGAGGTCACCTTAAACAACAAAAAAAAAAAAAAAAAATTTAATAAATTTTATTTTATTTTAATTCTATAAAATTATAAAATTAAAATAAAAAAAATTTATCAAATTTAGTCAGATAAGCACCGAGTAATCCACATTTAAAGTTTAAGTATCTAAATAAAAAAGAGCTATAGCCAAATTTTTTTTTAGCTTTTAATAAATATTTCTTAACAACTATTTATTCAAATTAGATAAATTTTTTTTATTTTAATTATACAATCTATAGAACTAAAATAAAAAAAAATTATTAAATTTGGATAGATAGCTATTGCGAAAATTTTATTTAAAGTTTAAATAAAATATTTATTACAATTTATCTTTTTTTAAAAAACTTTTTAAAAGCTTTAAAAGAAGATTTCTCAATGGCTATCTATCTAAATTTAATATTTTTTTTATTTTAGTTCTATGGAGTTGAATAATTACAATAAAGAAAATTATCTAATTTAAATAAATAGTTGTCGAGAAATATTTATTAAAAGCTAAAAAAAAATTTGATCACAGCTCTTCTTTATTTAAATACTTAAATTTGAATATGGATTACTTGATCTGGACTCCGGAAACGATCTACAGTGATCTTCAGTCCGGAATTTGCTTGACATAACCCTATATTTATCCATTTTTTTTTATAATTTAAATACAAATTTTCAAATATTAAAAAGATTTTTATTTAATATTCTATATATTTGAAATAGATCAAAAGATAAATTTATAGTAATTAAAGCAGGCAAATTTGCCTACTAAATTCTACAGTTCAAGAGATATTAAAAATAACAACTTTCGTATTAGCTACTTCAACTTTGTCAAAGTAAATGTGAAACGTCAACAACCATAACAGTTTCTTCGTGATCATTTAATAAACGCAATGGACGAATTTGCTTTTGTGGTGAAATAGAAATCACACAGCTATTTCCACAGAAAGTCGAACCTATTATTATTAGATGAAAGTAATTATATAGCATAGCAAAAAAACTTCCAATAATCATAATAATCAGATAGACATATCACCATTTTCGAACCCAGTTCGATTAGATGCAACAAATAAAATATTACGATTTCTAGTAGCATCTAGATTTTGTAGATCTTCGTCATTCACATACGTATCGTTGTATAATGGTAGTAATCGTTGACACCAATAATCAACAGGATTTCCACCAGACAACCATGCCATTGAACATAGTATAATGTCACTTTGTTGACGAAGATGAAAACGTGCGAATTCAAAGGTAGTAAATGGAGTCTGGTACTTATACGAGTTAAGATCCATGCAGATACCGAAACCGACCTAATTTTGAATCACATACAGGAGGACTTTAATTCTTGAACATTTGCTAGCACTTTACTAGTAAAACTTTGATCATGTTTCGATGAGTTTGGTATCCTTTGAATCATTTCACTAAGATTATTCTAATATTATTACTGGATCAAGAGATAACTTTGATCAAAGTTTTATTACTAAAGTGCTAGTAAAACCAAGTGTTCAGAAATTAATGTCCCCTATTTGTACTTTAATTAATGGTTGGGATAAGTATAATAGTCAGTAATCATTTGTACCAACAATACCTTTCCCAACTCAGGCACATTTATAGATTTAAATCCAGGGCCTTCTTCAGCCCAATTTTCATCAGTCATGAATAAATGAGTTTTTTGATAAGTTTCGATAAGATCACCATTTCGACCAACGAAACATATACTATTATAGTATTTGCCTGGATTACCTGTTTATATAAAACTTGTAATTAGGGATTGAACAGAAATTTATTTTAATAAAAAATTTAATTATTCATTACCCTTAACAATTTGTGGATATCCAACCATAACAAACGCATGCAATCTAAGAGCTGTAATTTAAAATTACCAACAAGCATCGATGGTTAAAATTTTTATGGTAATTATAAACCGA